GTGTACAAACTTGAGTATACATTAAATTCCCAACTGCTAAAGCATAGAAAATTTCATGTATTTTCCTTTCTTTAAATTTATCCATAGAGCATTAATCGAGACCAAACTTGTCTCCCTTAGCATTGGGGGTATTACCTGAATTCTATATCTGCATTTCAAATCTTTTAAGAACCTTATCGATACATCTCTTTTGTGATAATCAATTCTTATGTATCTATATCATTAATACAAAAGAGGTATCACTAAAATTATTCATTTCAAAAATCCATAACAGAAATCTCTTGGTTTCGCTCAATAAGTTTAAATCATTGCAGACAAATAGTATGTCATCGACATACGATGCCAAAAATAGTATGTCATCGACATGCAATCTCTGTGTGCAAACTGAAAGCCCGAAATCAAAGTTAATCGAGTACATAATTCAAAGCAAAATTTTCTTAAAAACATACCTTGACGGTTCCAGAACAAGCACAAGGAGCTTCCATGGATTTACAGCTTTCAAATTCTTCTTCATGGCATATTCTACATATAGGTATAGTAGCTGATGATTTTAATTTATCTATGAATAATACAATTTTATCCGTTCCCTTTTTGAATTTTAAACTGTTTTCCCCTTAATACTCTTAACTCTTCTCTTTCTTTCTTCTCTTGTTCTGTGTTTTGTGGGTGTTTTTTGAATTTTTAAAGGAAGAAAAGAGCAATTGAAATTCCTATTGTCACCTTCTATTATAAGTAGAGCCTTTTATATGGACTCAAAATAAAATGGTTGAGTTTGGTGACTTAGGAGGGTGTATTCAATTGTGACTTTTAGAGACTTTGGGAGACTTACAAAGTTTAGGTATATTCAATTGAGACTTTTGGAGATTCTCTAAAAGTTTGGGTGTATTCAATTGAGACTTTTAAAAAGTCTCTAAAAATCTCGGGGTATTCAATTGAAACTTTTTAGAAGTCTCCAAAAGTTACGCGTTATTCAATTGGGAAAGGATTTGAGAGGATTTACAATTCTAAAGACTTTGGGAGACTTTTCTCGAGGAAGTATAAATAAAAATTCTCCACCCAAATCTCTAGTAGGACGAGAGATTTGTCAAGTTGCTGGACGGTTTGGAGAAGGTAGATCTCTCTTCTTCCATCTCTTCTTCCAGTCGGTAGTCTCTTCTTTTCCCTTCCATCTCTTCCAGTCAGGTTCCTCCTAATTGTTGAACTTCTCGTCACTCACTTTCAGGACGAAAACACCCTCGCATCAGCTTGCTCTGCTTACTGCTGTCGCCGCCTTCTTTCCGACGCCGAAACCTTTCCGCCAATTGGAGGTATGGATATCACGCACGATAATCACCATTCACTATTGTATAAAGTTCTAATCTTATATAATTGTATATGAATGTGTTCCTTGTTTTCTTTAAAATCTCCTACGGATGTTTAATAAAAATTAGGGCTTCTCACCGTGGCTAGTGATCTACAGATTGAGTGTAATTCTGATTAGTTTTCAAAGTTCTTGTTGCTT